AATAAAAAAATAAAAGCAAAACAAATATAAATAAAAAAAGGAGGGCTGGGGATGTGGCTCAAGCGGTAGTGCGCTCGCCTGGCATGCGTGCAGCCCGGGTTCGATCCTCAGCACCACATACAAAAAAGATGTTGTGTCCGCTGAAAACTAAAAAAATAAATATTAAAATTCTCTCTCTGTCTCTCTCTCTCTCTTTAAAAAAAAAGAAAAAAAAAGGAAAGAAAATGGATGTCAGCCAAGAATACTAAAATAAGCTTCAGAATTGATGGTCAAATAAAACATTACATGATGAACAAAAGTTAAAAGAATTCACAAGTAGAAAGTCTGTACTAGAAAACATGAAAAAGAAGAAATGAAAAATAAAAGTGAAAACCAGCAGAGGGAGCAAGAACACTAAAGAACAGTGAATCAATGGAGAAACTAATTCAAATTAAAAACCAGAAATAAATCAAAATGCCTGGGATTACAAATCATATCTCAATAATAACATTAATTGTAAAGGACATAAACTCAGAATCAAAAGACATAGACTGGTAGCCTGGATTAAAAAAACAAGACCAAAAACAATATGCTATTTCCAAGAGACCCACTTCATAGGCAAAAATATCCACATGCCAAAGGATGGGAAAAATGTATCACTTACATGGACCATGTAAACAAGCAAGGATTTCCATCTTCATACCAAATAAAGTGAACCTCATGCCAAAGTTAATCAGAAAGGACAAAGAAGGATATTTCATACTGCTTAAGGGGATTATACATCAACAAGACATAGCAATTGCAAATATTTAGGCCCCAACCAACAGAGCATCTATGTATATCAAACAAATTCTTTTCCATTTCAAGAATCAAGTAGTCTGCAACACAATAATACTGGTTGACTTTAACACACCAATCTCACTACTGGACAGATCTGCCAAACAAAAACTAAACAAAGAAGCTATAGAACTAAATAATACAATCAATAATTTAGATTTAATGACATATATAGAATATTTCATTCATCTTTGACCAAATATACTTTCTTCTCAGCAGTACATGGATCCTTCTCTAAAATAGACAATATCTTATGCCATAAAGCAACTCTTAGCAAATATAAAAAAAAGAGATAATAACCCTGCATTCTATCAGATCATAATGGAATGAAATTAGAAATCAATGATATATAAAAAATAGAAACTACTCTAACACCTGGATATTAAATAATAAATAATTGAACAATGAATGAATAACAGAAGAAATCAGGGATGAAATAAAAAATACTTAGCAGTAACTTAGAATAGTGATATAATATATCAAATCTCTGAGCCACTATGAAGATAGTGCTAAGAGGAAAGTTCATTGCATTGAGCTCATTCATTAAGAGAAAAGAAAGTCAATGAATAAGTGACCTAATATTACATCTCAAAGTTCTAGAAAAAGAACAAATCAACACCAAAAGTAGAAGATAGGAAATAATTAAAATTAATGAATTGAAACAAAAGAATCTCTCCAAATTAAATAAACAAAAAGTTGGTTCTTTGGGGAAAAAATCAATAAAATTGATAAACCCTTAGCCAAGCTAGCAAAGAGAAAGAGAGGAAAAAACTCCAATTACTAAAATTCAGAAAGAAAAAAGAAAATATCACAATGGACACTACTGAAATACAGATGATAACGAGAAGGTATTTTTAAAATTCATATTCTAAAAAGATAGAAAATCTTGGACACTGGCAAATTTCTAGAGACATACAACCTACTCAAATTGAATTAAGAGGACACAGGAAACTTAAACAGATCAATTTCAAACAATAAAACTGAAGATGCCCTCAATCTTACCAACCAAGAAAAGCCCAGGACCAGACAAAATTCTCAGGGGCATTCTACCAACCTTCAATTCATGATATAGAAAAGAAAGGAACACTTTAAAACACATTCTATGAAGCTAATATCACCCTGATACCAAAAGCAGACAAAGACACATCAAGGAAAAAAACTTCAGACCAATATCATACCCCTCATGAACATACATGCACAAATTTTAAATAAAATACAGACAAATCACATACAAAAACATATTAAAAAGATAAAGACAAGAATAACATTATTTTAATAGATCAGATAAAGCATCTGACAAAATATAGTACAACTTAATTTTCAAAACACTAGAAAAACTAAGGATAGTAGGAATATAGATCTACATGTAACAGCTAACTATGACAATCCAAGGCCAACATCATTCTAAAGGAGAAAAATGCAAAGCATTCCCTCTACAAACTGGAACAAGACAGGTATGCCCTCTTTTACCATTTCTATTCAACACAGTTCTGGAAATTTTAGAAAGATCAATTAGACAAAAGAAAGAATTTAAAGGGATGCAAATAAGAAAAGAAGAACAACTATTCCTATTTGCTGATGACATGATTCTGCATTCAGAAAATCCAAAAACTCCACCAGAAAATTTCTTAAACTCATAAATTAATTAAGCAAAGTGGCAGGATATAAAATTAATACCCACAAATAAACTTCATTCCTATACGTCAGTGATAAATCCACTGAAAGAAAAAGAAAATTACCGCATTCACAATAGCTCAAAAAAATTAAAATATTTAGGAATCAATCTAAAGAGGTGAATGACCTCTACAATGAAAACTACAGAATACCAAATAAAGAATTTAAAGAAGACCTTAGAAGGTGGACAGATCTCCCATATTCTTGGATAGGAAGAATATTGTCAAAATGGCCATACTACCAAGTACTGCACAGATTCAATGCAATTCCTATTAAGGTTCTGATGACATTCTTCATAGAAATAGAAAAAGCAGTCATGAAATTCATTTGGAAAAATAAGAGGCTCAGAATAGCCAACACAATTGTCAGCATAAAAGTGAAGCTAGGAGGGACCACAGTACCAGACCTTAATTTAAACCAAAGCTACAGTAATAAAAAATGGCATAGTACTGGCACCATAGCAGCCATGAAGGCCAATGGTACAGAATAGAAGACACTGAGATGAACCCACACAATTACAGTTATTTCATACTAGACAAAGGTGCCATAAACAGACATTGGATAAAAGATAGTCTCTTCAACAAATGGTGGTGGGGAAACAAGAAATCCATATGTAATAAAATAAAATCAGACCCCTATCTCTCAACCTGTACAAAATCCAAATCAAAATGGATTAAGGACCTAGGCATTAGTTCAGAGACCCTGTACCTACTAGAAGAAAAAGTAGGCCCAAATCTCCATCATGTTGGCTTAAGAAATGAATTCCTCAACAAGACTCTGAAAGCACAAGAATTAAAATCAAAAATCAATAAATGGGATTTTATCAAACTAAAAAGCTTCTTCACAGCAAAGGAAACAATAAAGAACATGAAAAGAGAGTCTACAGAATGGGAGAATATCTTTGCCACCTGCACCTCAGAGAGAGCATTAATCTCCAAGATATATAAAGAACTCAAAAAACTTAATCCAAAAAATGAAAACAAAAATAAACAAGCAAAAAACAAATAACCACCTCACAGAAAAAGAAATGCGAATAGGCAACAAATATATGAAAAAATGTTCAAAATCAATAGCAATTAGAGAAATGCAAACTAAAAGTGAACAGAGATTTCATCTTATTCCAGTAAGAATGGCAATTATCAAGAATACAAGTATAAATGTTGGTGAGAATGTGGGGTAAAAAGGCACACTCTGACATTGCTGGTGGGACTGCAAATTTGTGCAACCAGTATGAAAAGCAGTATGAAGTTTCCTCAGAAAACATGGAGTGGAACCACCATTTGACATAGTTATCCCACTCCTCAACATACACCCAAACAACTTAAAATCAGCATACCATAGTAATGTGGCCACAACAATGTTCACAGCAGTTCAATTCACAATAGCTAAGCTATGGAACCAACCTAGATGCCCTTCAATAAGTGAAAGGATAAAGAAAATGTGGTATATATACATAAAGGAATATTTTCAGCCATAAAGAAGAATGAAATTATAATATTTGCCAGAAAATGAAGGAAACTGGAGACTCCCATGCTAAGGGAAATAAGCCAATCCCCCCAAATCAAAGGCTGAATGTTTTCTCTAATATGCAGATGCTGACTCAAAATAGGCTGTAGAGCAGCAGAGGGAGGATTGAAGGTTCAGAAGATTAGACAGAGGGGAATTTCAGGTATGGGAAAGACAGTAGAGTGAATCAGATATAACCTTCCTATGTTTGTATATGAATACACAACTTGTGTAACTTCACATAATATACAACCACAAGAATGGGAAGTTATACTCCATGCATGGTATGATATGTCAAAATATATTTGTTTGGCTCTCAAAACCATGGATATTTTCTAATATCATATATAACTAAAAAGAACAAATTAAAAAAATTAAAAATCTAATTAAGTGTTTAAAAACTGGAAAATATGTAAGATATTACGTGGCAGATATTATTCATTTATGGGCTATATTCCTAAGTCCCAGTGTATGAGAATGTGACAGTGTTAGGATATAGGGCCTTAAAGAGGTAATTTTTTTTTAACAATGATGTACTTTTAACTTTTATATTATTGGATTTTTTTTAATAGTGCATGTTTAATTTCTCTTGGTACATTTTCCCATGCTCACCTTCAGAGATACTGATTCAACAGGGAAAGTTGCTTCCAAGTTTCCTAAAGACTGTTAAATAAGCAGTTTGAGAAACCATGATGGAAATAATTGTTTCTAATATAATGAGGCTACTGACATTTTTGTCTTTTAAGAAGTCTCCAACTTTATTACTCTACTATATTTTTATTATGTCCTTTTATTTTATAATAGTTTAATTATAATACAAATACAAATTTTATAAATATATTAATTAGCTTTGAATTATTTCTAAGAATTGTAATAGCATGGTCAGCCATTTTAGTACTTTGCCATACTTGAATAAATGACCTAAATAAGCATTGTAAAGTGTGTATTTATGAAGTAAGTTCCATAAACCATTTTGTAAATAAGGCAAACAAAATATCTACAAATAAGAAAATAAGGCTTTTCTTTAATTTAAAAATTCTAACTCTTAACTTCAATACAATTTGTTTGGCTCTCATAACTATGGATATTTTCAAAATTTAAAGTACAAAGTTGTTATAAATATCAACTTTCGTATATAATGTATACCTATTTTACCAAACATTTTAAAATTTCTGGCTTCAGAAAAATACCAATGTTTTCCCAATTAACTTCTGAAAATATGCGTAACACCCTAAAATTCAGACATCAAGGCATCTATTTCTTTAAACTTATTAGTTATATTCTCAATACATTCTCCAGCTCTTAATTTCATTCCATCAATTACAAGATAGTCCTCTTCATGTTGATTTTGAAATGGGCTGCCTGCAGGAGCTTCAGGGATGCCTTTAGATAACTGTGAAAACAACCATATAAATCATCAGAACTATATCACATTTACTTGATTACTTGAACAAAATATAAAGTAGTGGTAACTCCTCAAGTCACAGCAGTGTATAAAGTTTTCTTTATTGGAGGTCAAATAATGATTCTTATATACAGTATAATGTATAGTAAATGTGTTTCTGTAGAAGTAAATTATTATTTAGGTTCTGTCTCTATTTCTCAACATTATCCATTTTTACTTTTAATTTTATGATTTGGAAAAAAATCATTTTATTTTGTCTAAGTTTTCTATATTAGCTTATTTTAAAAATCACTATAGAGAATACAGATTAAAACTGTTTTAGACAAATTTTCTGCCACTATCTTCTCATAAGCTATGTGTACTCTAGTTTAGTGTGGAAGACTTGTGAAAACAATTTATTTGTGCACATGCACATACACATATGAAGTCCATAACTTCAATGCTCATTAAGGATATGGCTAATTTCTCCTTCAATTCAAAGTTGAAAAAAGCACAAGTAGTTCATAAGAGTATTTTAAAATTTAAAAATGTACCATTTATTCCAAATTATTATGTAGTAAATGATCTTATTTGTATATGGATTATCCAATTTGTGAATTATTCTAATAGATATATAAAAACCTGCAGTTAATTTCTTCCCATTGCTTACCAAGTCAGGGCATGTCAACCAGTGTTAATATTAGCTAAAGAAAAACATAATTAGGAAGGTGACTCTACTGAGGAAAATAATCTCATAAAGCATTTCAATGACAAATAGAAAAGTGTTTTGATTATCCATGTGTGTATGCTTTTTTCCACATTGTGACTCTCATCTGTTGGTGTAAATGCTTGAGAGTAATCAAATTGAAATCTCACAGGTGAAATAAATGATGAAAATATCATTAAAGTTACAACTTTGAAAATAGCTCATATAATATCTTCTAAGAGAATCAACAGGCTCAGGACTTTAAAATTATCAGGTGGCTCTTCTTGGCATTTTTAGCTTGAGAGTCTACTTTCTTCTTAAAACCAAAATAAAATCCTGTTTTAAGTGAAATTCCCTTTGGAAGGCATATTAATTCTTTGTAATAACCAAAAAGAAAAAAAATGAAATCCTAGTAGTGATCATTTCTTTAATTTTACACTGGAACCTGTTTCAGTTTTGATATTCAGATTCATTGCTATTCTCATTTAAAAGTGAACAAGGCCCTAAATATTCTGAACCTGGCATGAATGTCAGACTTAGGAAGCTCAGTGTGCACAGTGGCTTTAAACTAGTCAGCAGGAGGCACTCACCTGCCTGCCAGCAAGTTAAAATAATTAATTTTTATAATTCCTAAATGCCTTTTGAAAGAGTAAAATAATACAAGAATCTAAAACAAAAAGTAAGCTCCTACCTAGTGATGAATTAAAACTATGTATTTTACCTTAAGAAATAAAATCAGAAGTAATTTTCTGTTCTATCAAGTTACTAGTTATAATGCCAAAATAGAAGCCATTTCTATGACTGTAAAAGCTCCAGGACATCACTATAAAAATTGACCAAGCTGTATTTTTGAAAATACAAGCTGCCTAGAATGGACAAACACACACACACACACACACACACACAAAAAAAAAAACCTACACAAAACCATAAGGTATTCAAACAAGGCATATAACTGCTAAAAAAGAATAATTTGTATATTAATTATATGTATATAAAATGCATGTCACCAATCTATAGATATTTTTCCACAAAGAGTAAGATCCATCTATAGAAGACAATAGTTTTTTTTAATGAAAGGAACCCTTCATTGGAAAAATGGCATTTATAACCTATGCAGATTCAGGCAAAAGTTGCCATTGCTGGTGCTGATTAAGAAAACTTACCATGATTTACAACTCAGTAGGAGTTGATACTAATTTTCTTCTTTTAATACATTTATCTTATTAACAAATCCTATAAATTTTGTAAATTTCTAACTCAGTAAAGGAGGTGCTAAAGATTCATCCTTACACATATTGACAATCTAAATGAAATCATGCAACTGAATAGTCTGCCGAAGTATGTAAATCATTTAGAAATGGTCCTAAATCCAACTTTTTCTGCATCTGAAAACAATAAGATTTCAGAGTAGGTAGTTGCTCAAAGCAAGAATGTGGGAATATAAAAGTGATGTAAGAAAATTTTAGGGGTGGGGATGTGGCTCAAGTGGTAGCGTGCTCGCCTGGCATGCGTGCAGCCTGGGTTCGATCCTCAGCACCACATACAAACAAAGATGTTGTGTCTGCCAAAAACTAAAAAATAAATATTAAAAAAATTCTCTCTTTCAAAAAAAAAGAAAATTTTAGCATTTATGCTCTTTAGACACTGCTATTACCAATTCTCATCTATAATAGTTAACCCAAGGTATCTGATGTTATGTCAAGCACTTTTCCCAGTTTACCTTATTTAATCTCTAAAACAATCCTAAGGCAGGTGGCAAACAACTTTGCTAAATTTCAAGTCATTAATGATAAAACCAGGACCAGGAAACAGGCATTATATATCAGAGTGAGGCTCAATATGTTCTCTTAACTGCAGATACACCATATATCTGAAAGAATGAATGAACTTTAAGATACAAAACTCTGTACTGTCATTTTTCTTTCTTACTACTTAGGGTACAACTGTATGTGTGGTGGAAGTCTACCATATGGCTTTTTTTTTTCTCATTGCTATTTTGTATTAATAGCCTGGGTCTTATATCACAAGTCCTCATTTTAGTTGTAGGCATTAAGTAAAGTAAACACATGTGGCCTAAGCCCAACATAAGTGTCCAAAATGTAGGGGGTTATATACCTTTATATACCAAGATATAAAAGGTGAAACTTATTCCAGTGAAAGATTCTACTGCCACTGTTACTAATGAGGTTTTTCTGTTATAAAGGTAATCTTGATGCCGGATCTGGACAGGGCAGATTTCCCAGTAAGTTGCTACCCTTTTCTAGTGAGCTGCTGTTAGCCTGGCCCCTTCCAATTGAAAAAATCAGAAGCAGGGGAGAGGTCTTTCTGAGTGAACTACAGCTACAGCAAACCTCTTCCATCTTTCTTCATTACAACCACAAAGATCTCAAATTACAAGAACTTCTCTACTTAAACAGAGATATCTTTCCCAAAACTGATAGGTGTATTCTGATTTCTCAACAGGCAACTACTTTACAATTCACTTCATGATAACCAAGAGCTCAAATTTCAGATGTGAAATAGGCATTTTGTATAATCAAAATGTACAATCAGAAACAATTCTGCCATTTAAAAAACTTGAAGTTGCTATTTAGGCCCGATAATAACTTCAATACTACCTTTTCTCTTGCATTAATTTCTTCTCCACATTCTTCTTCAGACTCATCAGGTATTGCTGTGGGCTCTAGGGCTTGCTGTAGCATTTGCTCCAGCTCTTTTAGTAAAACTTCTGTCTCAGAAACAACTAAAGGAATATCATTAACATATCAAATATGTTGCACCTTAATTAATTTGATATAATTGATAATCTTAGCCACCAGGAAAAAAGAAATCTTCTAAATGGTACAAGATTTAAAAAACTAAATATTTCATGTAATTTGTACATATGATTTTGCTTGATCCAAATTATGGATTTTCAAACTTTTATAATTGTTCTTTGAAAAACACAGGCAATATTCTTGCTATGTATATACCACAAAATATCTCTGAAGTATAAAATGCTCACCCGAGTTGTGTTTTTTTTTTTTTAATTAGGAAATCGGGGCACCAAACTAAATTACTTTTATTATAGAGAATAAGTAGCAAAATTTTTCTGTAAGAGACAGAGAACAAACATCTCAAACTTTTTGGTTAGACTGATCTCTATGACAACTACACAACTGTGTTGTAGGACAAACTGTAGACATGCACTAAGGAAATTAGAATGGCTATATTCCAATAAAATTTTATTAACAAAAACAGTTAGCAACTGGTTGCCAATCTATTTAAACTATTATTCAAAAGGAGAACCCTGTGTTTAAATAGCTAGGCTGAACATAGATTTGTCTGTTTTTAACCCAAATAGCAACATATCTTAATTTCCTAAATGATTTAATAAATAAAATAACTGCATTTACAAGAAGCACTTTTTTCATTATTGTGACATAAAAATTTAAGTAGGCAAAATTCAATTAGATTCTTCATTGATCTTGCTGAGATAAAACAATATCCTCACCAAAGATAAAGAAACCTAGTATAACTCTATAGAATCAAGTTCTGATTAACAATATGCATTTGAATTCTTGATTTAAACAATATAATCATTTGTTTTTGATATAGGATCTTATTGAAGCAAAGATCAAAAAAAGTAAGCCATGTGTGGCCTGCTGCCCTACACCACAGAGAGATGGAGAATCTGAGAAGCTCTTCCATAGACATATAATTTGGAGGGAAAGGCAATGAGTATGTGCCCCTTCTTCACTCTGATTATTAAAAGCTGACATATAACATATAACCTCTTCTTATTTTGGTAGGTCACCAAAAATCACACCAGGTACAGCAGCTGAAAGTTCATGGAACATGAAAATGTACCCAGGCAGGACATAATAAAGTTTCAAAAGTGCTAAAACAGTTATTAAAAATAGTGTTAAATGAAATTATGGAAAGTTATCAAATTGCAAGTTTCCAAAAAAAGAGAATGAACAGCAAATGTGAGAGGCAGAAGACAAAATAAATGCTCTCAGTTGTCATTATAGTACCGGAAAAACAATTTCAGTTTACACTTTTTGCACTATAGATTCTGTCTACAAAAGTGATTTTTCGGAGGCCAGACACAGTGGCACATGCCTGTAATCCCAGCGGCTCAGGAGCCTGAGTCAGGAGGATCGTGAGTTCAAAGCCAGTCTCAGCAAAAGTAAGGTGCTAAGCAACTCAGTGAGACCCTGTCTCTAAATAAAATATAAAATAGGGCTGGGGATGTGGCTCAATGGTTTAGTGCCCCTGAGTTCAATCCCCAGTACCAAAAAAAAAAAAAGAAAAGATTTTTTTTTGGTCAATATTTACTGCTTATCCTAAGCACTTTATATTTATATTCAATCAACAAATATTTACTATGTACCTACTAGGGACCAGGAGCTCCACAGGTTTAGAATTCCTGACCATACTCTCTTCCCAGGTAATCTTTGGTTTTCTCAAGGGAAAGCTCACTTAGGGAAGCTTTCTTAATGTAGAATGATAAACTATTCCACACTATGGAATATATTCTCTTATTTAAAAAACAAAACAAACATAAATTGCAATTAAAATGTTAGTTGTATCCAAATAGAAGTGTTATGCAGCTATTGCTAAAGACTAAGAACAAAGTTAATAGAATGCTCCATTCTAGAACAGTGGAATTAAAAATTCAAAATGTATAAGAGTCAGTTGGAGAATATATTAAATAAAAAGGATACAATTCTATGTCTATTGAATTAGAATTTTCTAGAGAAATATATGTTTTTGTTGAAGCACTTTTAATGAAATCAACCCTCATATTTTGATAGATTTCTTATTAGTAACCTCTTACTTAACAGATAACTACTGTGGCTATCTTATCTTCACACCAATTTCCCAGTACTACTCACAAATGCTGTGTTTTCCTACTTTAGATTCTGAGTCTATGGAAACTGACACTGAAATTTAAAGAACTGTTGAGATGAATTTGAGCTATGCTGTAAAGGAAAAAATGGCAAACAAACATCTTTATATTTCTTACATTAGGCTAAAATACATCAATTTATGATAATTAATGTCATCGCCAAATGGCATTGCAATCTCTCTGTTTTCAGGTGATCTGGAAAAATACACTGCCTTTTGATCAGAGGGTAGACAAATAATAAAGGATTTCATAAATCAACCAGTGTTTATAACATTAACTCGACTGATGTCAAAATCTGTTTCCAGGGGAATGGGAGGCTTGCTTTACTAAACACTTATTCTTACATTGTACGCTAAAGTTCAAAACTAATTCTCGAAAAATAGCAGTTGCTGTAATCTACAAACTAGGTTATCAAAACTGGTCAATGATACCCTCCAAAAGGTAGAGACAAAATAAATGCCTTTGCTGATTGCATGACCAATCATCTCCTATCAATACTGATTATACTGTAGTTTCACTGACTTGCTTTTATTTGTTGTTGAGAGTAAAGTGGTAACATTATAGCTACTCTATCACTCAAAGAAAGAAGGAGTCGGGGGTTGGGTAGAGAGACCAAAGGAGATATCTCTAATTCTAAAGCTGACATCTGGCTTTTAAAAATCAGTGTGTGTAAAATAAATCCATTCTTGATAAGAAAGAAATAAATCACTGTCTCAAAAATCAGTCAGTATTTTAAAAACTTTCAAGGGTATACTTAGGGAGTTTTTTTTTTAAAAATCTCTATTTCTTTAATAAATGTTTACAGAAAATATCTTTCCTTATTTGTAAACTATGGGTTGAGTTACCCCAAAGTTTGTATTTTAAAAAAATTAATTTGCAGAGTTATTTCATTGTTTAAATTATGTAAGCACCTAATAAAGGCAGCAGGTGAGGAGTAGTATTTTGTTTTGAAGTAGCCACAATATTCATACACACACACACACACACACACACACACACACACACGAATGAATAAAATACAGACTGAGTTGGGTTTGATTCTCAGCACCACATAAAAATAAAATAAAGATATTGTGTCCACTGAAAATTTAAAAATAAATATTAAAAAATTCTCTCTCTCTCTCTCTCTCTCCCATATACCCCCCTCTCTTTTTCTTTTAAAAAAAAAAAGAAGAAGAGATCACTATACAAACTGAAATAGGAAGTATGGTACAATTTGGGAAAGCGGGATCAGGGGAATAAGGGCCAACACCACTTTTGGCTTAGAAGTTAAAAATGTTAAACCAAGAGTTGGTATCATGAGTAGCAAAATAACCTTTTTCCTTGTCACTGTGTCTAAATCCTGAACTTAGGCCCCAAAGCCTTTCATGCTCTTTCTAGTTTATCCCGTAAGCCAAACCTTTCCTATATTAGCCATCCTCTTCCAAGATTATTTATATCAAGTGACTAATTAAACAATGTTAATAGGTTATTAGTTGGCTCTTAATAATATATTTACTCAAACTTTTAAAGATCTACCCATTCAAAATGAAAATTTGCCAATAGAAAAAAATGAAATAACAAACAACAATAAATAAAAAGCTAAAATAAATAATATCAAATAAAGAAAACATGAAAGGCAATAATGAAAAAAAAAATGCTCAGACCAACTATAATTGCTGCACCAAAACCTCCATGAATTTAGTTTTAAAATTTCTCATAATCATCAGGTGTGGTGAGATACACAATCTCAGCAGCTTAGGAGACTAAGGCAGTCAAATTCAAAGCTAGCCTCAGCATTTTGGCAAGGCCCTAAACAAATTTGCACAATAAAATATAAAATTGTCTCAAAATAAAATATAAAAAGGGCTGGGGATATTGCCCAGTGGTTAAGCACCCTGGGTTCAATCCCTGGTACTACTACTACTAATAATAATAAAAACAACAGGAATAATTCCTCATAATCTAAGCAACCAAGGAAATAGCTACACACTTTCATTTATTTATTTTACTAAGTTAGGTGTCTTTGGAAAAGTCATATGACCTATTAAGTGCCTTACTTTCCCAATCAATAAAATGGAAGGTAATGTAATATCCACTTTACCTAATATAAATCTTGCATGGATTAAATATACAAAAGTATATGAAATATTTAGAACAGTAAGGAGATACAGTAATTTTTATAGGTGCTGGTCATCATCATTGTTATTGCTAGAACCATATCTTCATGATAGATGGTTTTTCTTATTCCTAAAAACTGAAAAAAAATGAGTTATAGGGAATAATGAAAATGTAATAGGAAATTATATTGATGTTACCATAATTATTCCTGACAGGAATTGTCCCCAAAATGCAGACATGCTTCACTAATAGTATTTCTTAGATAAATCTATATAGACATGGGCATATAGTTTAAATTATTTAATGATCTCTCAGCTTTTTCTATAAATTTCCAAAAAGCAGATCTTATCTTCATTGGATAAGAGAGCTCTTGCTGCATCTCTTTTTCACAGATGAGGAAACTGATACCTGGAGAGATAAAGTAGCTGTACTTAATTAGCCCTTGTCCTAATCCCTAACTCGGGGCGGTGCAGAGAGAAAGAGAAAGAAGGAGAGAAGAAGAAAGAGAGGGAGAATGGAGAGAGGGAAAGAGAAACCGCCTGTGGAGCAGAAAGCTCACCTAGGAAGAGCAAATCTGGTGTAGGAAACAAATGGGAAACATTAACATCTGGTTATATAAGGAAATTGGTTTAAAGAAGTAGGGCAGTGATTCAAGAACAAAGCACAATTTTTTTTCTGTCATTTGATGCAGGACTGACACTATCTTAAACTTCAAAGAAATAAGAGATATCAGGTTTGAATTGAGGGAATCCACAGAAATTGGGTAGGAATTTTTTTAAAAAATGAGGAATTTTAAACTTGAAAAATATTTCACTTTTTTTCTGGGAGTCAGCTCTTAGAAAGAATACAGTACACCAGATATTCCTGCTCCCTATAGTTCATGATGGGATGAAGAAATAAAACACGGATTAGGTTAGTTGATTTAACAAATAACCATATAAAAATATGAGATTCCTGGAGGGGTTTCCCTCTACCTGGATAACTAGTGGGAAATATTCATCCATTATTTCTAGTCAATGGCTTCCTGGCTAGAAATGACTTCTGTAGTATCCTATAGTATGTGAGCTGGAGGGGAGAAGTATGCTGGTTTTGGAGCCCTCAGCCATAGTGCCTAGATCTCCAACTGGGAAATCAGCTCAGAGATAAGCAAACTTTTGCTTTTCTACAGGAATATATGAACTGATCATATGAGGCAAAGGGAGGAAAGAGCTAAGAAAAGTCATCTCAATTAGTGTGACGACAGCAGCAGGTTAAGTTGGAAAAGAAAAAACAGAATTTTGTGTGATTTAGAAGAGGAACAAAAGGATTTTAAAAATCCTCCTGCCCGTGTTATACTCTTTTAATGAGAAACAAGTGGCTTATTTAGCCAATTGAAATGCAAGGCCATAGGATATGGGGGTAGCTTTAAGGAGAGAGGGCCTATAGCATCTGTAACTCCTCTGGGTTTAATGGGCTTTGAACATGCCTGCCAAAGTTCCATCTTGTAAATAAGCATTTGCCTGCTTTTCAAGACTAATGAAAATGTAGGGAGAGTAAATGATACTTTCTTCCCGAATTTCATATTTACCCTACTGTGTTATAATACCAATGACAGTTAATTCAGTTGGAAGCCCCAGACATTTACTTTATTTCTTCTCTCCCTTTGGACTATTTTAAGTTTGGAATGGAGAAGTCTGGATTGGAATACAGTTGCTGGTATTTCCCTCCCACGACTGTTAGTGCTTTATTTTAAAAATTAAATACAGGACAAAGCCAGAAAAAATTAATTTAAAAAAACCAGAAACCTACAGACAACTGAGAAGCCCCTGTATATAAATCAATACTGAAAATGACCTATTAATGTTTCTCTCCTATAAATATACAACAGTTCTTTTTTTCTTTCAAAGGAAACAACTACATCTTGTAGAATTAGACATATGCAAAAGAACTAAAAGTAGAACAGGACTTCACATACCCATGCTTTCCTTTGATAAGGCATCATCTGAACAAACATTTTCAAAAGAGCATTTTAGAATAGCTTTCCTAGAAAAAGAATTGGACAGATTTAATTTCAAATGTTCAATTGTATACATGTAAATGACCATTCATGAGTATTCATTGATAACTGTAGATTATTAGTATTTATTTAACTAAGGTACTTTTTCTTGGTTGTGTTATATAGTAAGATACAATTATAAAAAGAGAGGACTAATATTGATTTAAGCTGTCATTAGGCACAATACACTGGTGATCTACTTAACAGTATACCCAGTTTTATTCATGTAATTCTCCTTTAAAAATCTATTAAGTACTTGCTCCTCTCATTATATGAAGAAACTGAGCTATCTGACAATAAAGGTAAATGGCTGAACATTATAGAACTAAATTCTGTTAAGACTGCAAATTCATGCTTTTTTCCATTATACTATGTTGATGATTTAAAGCAGAATTTTGTTCAAATCCATTTTCTCTAAACATAAGTTATTATAAAAGTCACTTCACTTCTATATGCCTCAAATTGTTCATATTTTAAATGAAGATAATTATGATACACTTTCTATTTACTTGATGGGATTACTGTGAAGTATTACTGGTATAAGGCAATGAAAGTCCATTTAAAAAAATTAGCTATCTTCTGGAAAGGTAAAAAGAAGAAGAGAAAGACTATTAGTGCCAGTTTTTATTTTTGAGTAGAATTCCTTTTAACAAACACAACACTGATTATATTCTTTAACAAATATGGCTGATTCAATGATAAATACTAAAATTTGTCATTAGTGGCTTATTAGTTTATTATGAAGCCCTGTTTCTGGTTTGTATTACCAATTTTAAGCTAGGATCCTTTTCATCTAGTTAGTAAAATAATATTAATCTTTAAAGTTCCAATTACAAAACTACATATTTATATGATTATGAAACTTTCTCCATATTTCTAAGATTACTACTAATAATCTTATAAATTCTTTTAGAAAACTTTAAACATAATGTTTCCCTAATAAAATGGAATCAAGAATTATGGGAAATGTCATATAATAATTAAAAAAAAACATATGTACATATTTACATTTTATCATATTACCAGCTTACCTTTTTCTTTTTCTAAGTTTGGGCTTTTTCTTTTCAATATTAGTTTTGGAAACTTGCATCTATAAAACAACAACAAAAAAGAACTGAGTTAGTTCATATGGAACTGGATGTACTCACTATAATAATGGGATCTACATGGTTCAAGTATTTTAGCTGAAGAAAAACTCCAGTCCATATTACTAAACAATTAAAATACATACTATCACATCAAACAAGGCCAGGTCTCTAATTCACTTACGACTTATAGAAGAATTCTAAACTAACCAAAAAGCACTTCTAGAAGAGAAGAATCATTGATTTAATCAGGGAATGATTTTTAAAAACTCTTTAAATACACTGAAGAGAGAATAAGTATATGGAAATATATTGAAGAGATCACCAAATCTATAAGAGAAAGAAAGAGAATTTTTGGAAGAGCAGTTAAGAGTATGGAGAAATATTAAAAATGTTAAATGGAAAATTATAGAAATAAGGTTTTTAAAATTTTAAATAAATTTTACTACCTTATTTTGTTATAACTTTTCTATATTACAATTAGATATTGTTCTTATTTTTTCTGTGCCTAATTTATAAATTAAACTTTATCATAAGTGTGCTTGTATAGGAAGAAGCATAGTTATACATAGGATCCTGTATTATATGAAGTTTGAGGTCTTGGAATGTATTCCCTATAGTTAAAGGGAGACTACTTACTGTACATCCATACAACAGAACATTATTCAGCCATAAAAGTAATGAATTACTAACAATTGGGTATATCTCAAGACCATTACTCTAAATGCAAAGTGAAAAGCCAGACCATAACTTTCCTATGTGCCTACATGAATATACAGTGAATCTCACTATCATGTACATCCATAAGACTAGGATTCTAATTAGAATAAGATATATTCTTCGTTTGTAAAATATGTCAAAATAGGCTCCACTGTCATGTATATCTAAAAAAAATCTAAAGTGTTCAGAAAAGGGAAATCCATAGAGACAGAAAACAGATTAGTGGTTGCTAGGGACTGAGAAGAGGTGGAAAATGGACAGTGATTGCTCCATTCCGAGTGATAAAAAACCATTATAAAATTGGATACTGGTATTGGTTGTACAACTTTAAATATGCTAGAAACCACTATATGATATATTTTAAAGAGTGACATGTATGATATATAAAATATAGAGCAATAATACACAATTTAAAACATTTAATGGCATAGAAACATTGAAAGTAAGGAGCTGAAATAATAAATCTATAATTATTTACAAAAGTATCTAATGTAGCAATAATAATGGTAGAAAAAGTAGATATAAAGTAAAAAACAGAGTAAAAAGGTTTACTACTCAATGCTAAAAGAAATAATTCACCCCCAAAATATAATTGTCCTGAGCTGTATATTCCTAAAATCTTTGCTTTAAATATACAAAGCAAAATCAGAATTATAAGTAGAATTTGATGCAACTATACTTTATCTCCCTTAAAATTTTTGTAGAATTTATCTCTTTATAGAAGATATAAAAATCAACAAAGAGTTCAACAACACAAATAGAATCCTTGATCAAATAAATATATATTGATCATATATATTTATTTATGGCTCTGACACTGAATATTAAAGAATACACATTCTTCAAGCCTGAAATATTTACAAATTTGACCACTTACTAAGTCACAAAGGAGGTCTTAAAAATATTAAAATAATCTGTTTTTTACCTCTTTCACTGAATAAAATTCAATAACATAGGAAATCAAATTCCAAAAGATAGAAGACTAAAATTTGTAACAGAGTGATAGGAATAGAAGTCATACTCTCCATAAACCTTTACAGAAGAACAGTATGATCTATGTCACATATTTCCATGATGAATATATGAGATTTACCACCGTGTCTTGTAAGCTGCAGGTACACATAAAGAATTTGTGGGATTAATTTTGGGAGAAAAATAACATGTTGGGGTAAAAATAGAGATCAATACAAGGGGGAAAAAGGTGTGTTACTGTCCATTTTTCAGAAGTATTCTCTTGGATTTAGACATTTAATGACATTATGAAATTTATCCTGAACTTATAAGCCAGAACTTCAAAGCAATTCTCTTTTCAAAATGTTAGCTTCTTTTATTTATTGTCTATTCACTTCAACCTGTCAGGTGAGAAGTTTCATAGCCCATTTTGTCTAGTCCCTTCACTGTTTTACTGATCTTGATTTTGCTGTTTCTGAATCAACCACAAGTATAGAAGCAATTTTTAAAAACTTACTTAATGTTTGGGAGCCAGAAGTACCATTTATAATGTATATTTAAAAGCTTTAACTATAATAAGTGAGGCTTGAATTTAATAACTCTCAAAATATTATTAAACAGCTTAAAATACATTAAACATCATTCAAGGGAGGTTTGTATGAAATACTCTGGGAATTTATCCTATGATGCTAAAGACTAATGAGCTTCTTTTCATGACCTTTTTACCTCAAAGTAATGTTTCTTCCAGCACTCAGTTCTTAGTTTCTCTCTCTCTCTCTCTCTCTCTCTCTCTCTCTCTCTCTCTCTCTCCATGCATAGTAAAAAAGGATATAGAAATATTGGCAAAATCATTGATCTACATCTCCAAACACAATGTAGAGCTATTATTACCTTGCTGTTATAAGTATCAGCCTAAATTATCTGTAAATTAAGTGTGAAGTAAAAGGGTTACTATAAAAGGAAATAATATTAATGTAACAAAATGAAAATAACTATAGAATTAATAGAAAATCCCATACTAACCAAATAAACTAGTCAAAATTTGCCTCCTACTCTAAGCCTTTGATAAAGTCTGATGTGATTGAGATAAGCACAGATTGTGACATGGAAGGATCCCAATTTGAATTCTAACTCTGGCACTTACTGGCTGTATCACTTTTGGTAATCACTTGGCTTTTTCAAAATCTAGCTAAAGTCTGGTATAAATACTTAAATATCTACTACCTAAAAGACCATTTTGCATTTTAAGGTACTCTGCTAAGTTGTGGTAAAACATAACTACCTCAAAATATTTAGGGGAAGATAAAATCAAATAACATGTCAGAAAGTATTCAATTGTACTTATCAATTAATTGTCCCAATCATTATTTATTACTGGACAGGGGTCCAAATTTTATCTGTTTTCTTTATAGCATAAACCTAGGCAACTTGTCATCTTAGGATGATTAGTCTTTGAGTAATATACTAGTTTCCTTAGGCTGCTATAACCAATCATCACAAAGTTGGTAAGGCAACAGAAATTTATTATCTTACAGTTTTACACAATATCAGTTTGTCACTTACAAGTCCACTCTTCATTAAATTAGAGCCTATCTAATCTTGGATCATTTATCTCAATATCCTCACAGTAATTAGATTCACAAAGACTTATTCCAAATGAGGTCACATACTGGGATTCTAGAAGTCTGTTTTGGGGGACACTATTCCACCCACTGTAAGAAGATACAATCTTCACCCATCTTTTCTACTTCTTTTCCCATGGTTGTATAATGATTTCCCTATTTATCTAGCTCAGTTCTATTCAGAGGAAGGACCACAATGTGACTTGATCAGAAACACTTAAGAACATGTTAGAAGTGCAAATTCTCATGCCTACCAAACAAGACAGTAGGGATGGGGCCCAGGAATCTGTACTTAAATATGCTAATTATTACTAGTTGACTCTTATGGTCTCAGTCCACAGATGACCAGCTCCATTGCTGTAGAGACCATTGTGGCAGATAAGAGTGGTAAAGAAAAGCAGCTCAGAACATGAATCAGAGAGAGAGAGAGATAGCCACCAGGAAGCAGAGAAAGCTTCCCTCACCAAGAACAAAATATACACCCAGAATACGCCCCCCAATGACCCACCTCCTCCAGCCATACCGTACCTGCCTACAGTTACACTCAGCTAATCCCTATTGGGGGATTAATGCAGTATTTAGGCCAAAACTCTCAAAACCCAATAATTTCACCTCTAAACTTCCTTGCATTGACTCACTCATGAGCTTTTGGAGGACACCTCATATCTAAACCATAACACTAACGTTCATGAGGCAGTGGTCTAGTCTTTCCCAATATCTACATAAATATACTATATACATGTCAGTGATTTTAAAGAAACCGATATAATTATTAATTTTTCTCTTTCTGGATGTAAAAAATAAGCCATTTACTGAAAAAGAAATACATATAATTAATGATAATTTGAATTGTGGACTGGAATGGCAAATGATAGAATTGCCTTTAATTACAAGACAGAAAAATCCTTAAAAATTGTGTTTACATCAAATTTATATATTCTGACTTGACACTGCCCATTTCCTTAAGTCATTACTCATCTGAACAATTAAAAAAATTTTTTTAAGTAAAAGGTATAAGTTTGTTAGCTTTGTCAAATCTGAATGTGTAAAATATACCTCCAGCATTCTGTGCTCATAGAAGACATATAAATATGTTTTGTAACTTTGACAACTGTCAGTTGATAATCACAAAAGAGCTATGTACTTTGAACTGCCAAAAGTGATTTTGTGTGCTTTGAAAAATGTACACAAACTCCTTGTTAAAAGTGATCATAGTCAGGCACAGTAGCGCACGCCTGTAATCCCAGTGGTTCCGGAAGTTGAGACAGAAGGATGGGGAGTTCAAAGCCAGTCTGAGCAACAGCAATGTGCTAAGCAACCCAGTGAGACCCTGTCTCTAAATAAAATACAAAAAATAGGGCTGGGGATGTAGCTCAGTGGTTGAGTGCCTCTGAGTTCAATCTCTGGTACCAAAACAAAAAGTGATCATATAGAAGTTTTAAAAAGGCTTATTTTCCTTCAGAAAATCTGCTGGGGAAATCTGCTTGGAAAAAGGATAAAAACTAGTTTCATGTAGCATTATACATCATGATAATTACTTAATCTGAGTATCTGGAGAGTACAGATAATACAGTTAAGTCTTCAGGCCTAGACAAAGATTGCTTGCAGAACTTCATTTAAAATAGGGGGAGGATTGAAATGATTTTTTAATTTTACATACTATTTCAACAGAAAGAACACAAATCTAGTGTTTCTTACATAAATGTTAATCA